ATAAGCAATATAAGTTTCTGTGTTTACTTGGTTGGGTCTGAGCGGCTGTGGGACTGGTGGGTAACAGAGATTTGACCTGACTGTGGGCAAGGCAGGAAAATTCCAGTTACGGCTACCCATGGCTATCCCTCTCAAGCCAGCTTTCCCTGAGAGACTCAGCCCAGCGAGCCTTTTCTCCACTCAGGTCTGCAATTCCACTGTTCTCACCAGCGAGGGCCTGGTAGAGAAGGAATGGCAGGTGCCTGAAATCACTCAGCTCCACAGCCTCAGAACACAGCCAGAGCAGCTTTGGAATTTCTGCTTCTTGGAATATGTCTTTTAAAGAATTAATCGAAGACACACGTTTTAGTTTTGCAGATGGTCACTGATATGTTGTTTAAAATAGTTTAAAAAAAATAAGTCAGATATAGTGGCGCACACCTGTAATTGCCACACTCGGGGATCAGAGATGGGAAGACTGAGGATCCAAAGCTAGGATGGGCTACGTGGTGTGACCTTGTCTAAAACAACAAACCAACCAAACAAAAAGAAACAAAGTACAGAAATACCGGAATCAATGCAGATGTTCAACAATACAGGGTTGATTATATAAATTTCCCATTCGTGACACATCATTAAAAAGAAGAGAGACTTATAAATAATGAAAGTATGTGCCTAATACATTGGGTAACTGAAAAGAAGGAAACTATGAAACATATTAATATGTATATATTTTTTAAACCAAAAAAAAATTTATTTGTAACAAGTACCAATAACAACCAACCAATGATTGTGATAAAAATTAGGGGTGTTTTTTAATCATTTCCTTTTGTTCAGGGATATTTTATGAGGCAAAAGGAACTAAGGAGGAAAAAGCTTCACTTCTGTTTGTTAAAATAGAATAGCTTTGGGGAAAATATAGCATAAACACATCTATGAAGACAAATTAACAACCAATTCCCATTTAAAGATTTTCCCTACTTCCCTTTGCTCATTTTCTTTCTCACACACAGCTTGTAGAACGGACACATGTTTGTGAGCTAGTGTAAGCTAGTGTAGCTCTTAATAAATGATTTATCAGTGTACTATGCACTAGTGAATCAGGGCATTTCAGATCCATTATGTAAAACACTTATGTGTCCATGTGAGGTGCTGTTCCTCCCTACATTGTGTCAGATAGGATATCTTGGTTTCTAAAAATCCATGAAGACACATCAGCTTTAATCTGGTCACTGCTGGCTGAAGACAGGGTCCTCAATGCCTTTGAACATCTCCCTTAGTCTACCTCATTATCTATTGTGAACTTGTACACATTAGTTGATGTCTCTAGACTCCAGTATCCTAACTGTGCAATAAGGATGTATCTGTTTTTCAGCAGTCTCACAAGGTTTAGATATGTTACACATACAGTTCACAAAGATAGTCAGGTGTATAATGTATTTTTTAGTAATTAACCTTCCTTAAAATCAATAGGTAATACCCATGATAAGTGAGAGGACAATGTGTACCAGATTTAGGAGGGGGTTTTGGTGTAGACATGTATAGAGCATTCAGACATACTCCCCTGTAGTCATCCTACTTACTGAAGCAGGAACCTCATCAAGCTGCCTCCCACCATGGTTGGAAACAAGAATGCCTTGGACATTGTGTTTCACTGCTAATTCTGCATCCTCTTTCGTCAAAATCCCTTTAAGGATAACAGGCAATTGAGTTATACGCTGAAGCAAGGAGAGATCATTCCAGCAGAAAGATGCACTTGGCAACGATGTGGGAGAAGATTGTGTGGAATTTCTCTGTAGGGAATGAGAAGGTGTGTGTTAGTCCCAAATTCTCACATCACTTGATTCACTCAAAAGATGAGACATACTTGGAGCACTCATATTTATAAGCTATGAAACACAAACAATGCTACCCAACACTGATTCTAACTCCTTCCTCTCACAAAAGCTTCATAAAGAATTTCTACTTCAATGACTTGTTCATTGACCCTTAATCAATGTCTTTGCTTGATAATTACTCTAGGATTTGGAGACACATGGACAGATAAGATAAATCTATGCTTTAAATTGGTGCAGAGTTCAGTATGTGAGATGAAGAAGAAAAATAGTTACAAGTCAGTTTGACATTTTCTTTCTCTTTTCTTTTTCTTTCTCTCTCTCTCTCTTTACTTCTTTCTTTTCTTTTTTGTTGTTGTTGTTGTTGGTTTTTCTAGACAGGGTTTCTCATAAATAGTTCTGGCTGTCATGGAACTTGCTCTGTAAACCAGGCTGGCCTCAAACTCACAGAGATCTGCCCGACTCTGCCCCCAAGTGATGGGATTAAAGGCATGGGCCATCACCACCCAGTTACTTAGATGTTTTATTTTTGAGCTATGCATGGACTAATAAAACCAAAGCAATAAGAATCTTAAACTAGCCCTGCCTCACCATATGCAACAGATTTCCTTAAATTTTGATATGTCTCCTGGTTCAAGAACACCCAGAAAATCATAGCTGCCCATGGCCTGAAAAGGCCAATGTCACTATAACCATGATTTTCACTCTCAAGGGCATGACATCTCTTTTCATAGAGATTAGAATTTAATGAAGGAAGTGTCCTTTGTAGTCCCTTAATTGAATGATTTCCAAAAGATGTGCTGCAGAGCCTTGATGTTTCTGGAGGAGTTTTAAGTTTTCAAGGCAGCAGATTGGGGCCCCAGCTGGCTGGACTAGCTAGCTATACACCTGTGCTGT